AACAAAAGCCTTTTCCCATTGAGTATGACCAGGTACTCACAATACTGAAAGGAATCAGTCATAGAGCTGTATTACTTTTTCACAGGAATAATACTATGTGTTAGGAAAAAACTGGCTAACAATCAGATTTCTTTGACAAAAGATGTGAAGTTTGCTTTTTTAAATATGGAATTCATTAGTATTATTGAATAGCCTTATCATATTTCTTTTAACTATAAATGATTTCCTCATACTTGGTTCCTGAGTTTTCAAAGGCTTCAGAAGTTACATAAAAGCAGGTAGACGATAGAAGCCTGGGCATTGTGGAGGTGTTAATATGTGGCAGATTTTTTTTTTAACCTAAGCATACATATTTCAGGACCCATTATCTTGTCTTTTCTTTTGATAAAGTGGCTTTAGATTGACTATTACGTTCCAAGGAAATTCAACACAGATTATTTCAGTCACACAGTGACCAACACTGGATGGCTGTTTGTCCAGTTGGACAAGATGGAAAAATAAACGTGTTCTCAAATGTCCTCTCAGGGAAGAACTGGGTGAAAGGCAGTCTCTGGTGTGCTACACAAATGAATAACCAAACATCAGGACCATGATAAAGGCATGGAACAGTTCAGGTCTTGGAGCTGGCACCTGCAGAAAGAGTTGTAAGTCTGAGTCACAGGTGGCTGAAGGATGTGCAGAGACCATTAACATAAACATTCTTCTGTGATGCTAAACATGTGTGATGTGAAAATCACCTTTAATTGTAGCTGTACAGCAGCCTCTGTGCACTCACCTATGATAAAATAGACCTTTCATAAAAAAATATTGTTCATATAGGTACTAATCTGTGTTCAGTGACAGCACAACTCTTCATCTACATTTATTTATTGAACACTGGGATAGGCATAGAGTGTGTTTCTCTAAAAGCTTCCATGAATGTTAATGACAAGGAATATCACTTGTACGCAGCACTTGTGCCTAGGAAAATATAGAAAAGGAAAGCCAATAAAGCATCATGTGAAAAATATTAGCTTGCTGAAAAGCTTTTTATGGTTTGAATTAATTTTTAGTTCAGCAACACTTGTTAAACCTATAAATAGATAAATAGTCCCTTGCCTTCCTATAGCTTTTTTCCTCTTATAGTGTGCTTTAGAAGTCTTCACATTCAGTGATTTTTATTTTATTATTTTTAGTTAACACTGCAGGCTCTCTTTCAGAGAACTGCTTTGATAACAGGCTGTTTTATCTCAGTTCCTAGTGTGATAAAAGCCAATTTGGAGTCAATTACTTTATACAAAACAATGCAAAGTACAAGATATTTTGATGATAATAGCAACTTTAAAAAAGGATGACCATCTGCCTTTATTCACTTCTCCTGCTTTCAGTGTCCTTTTGAGCTCCACTTTCCCTATGGAAAGATGAAATCACAGAGATCATTTTCCTGTCAGCTGCGAGGATGTGGTAACCATCTTATAAGACAAACATATGGCTGGGTCTTAAGGGCTTTTTCAAACTGGGTTAATCCAAATATAGGCTGCCAAGTTGTGTATAGAAGCATCTGCCACGTCAGTTCCCCATCACAACGCCTCCCTGCACCACCAGAAAGCCTGAGCTGGTGCCTGCTCTTTTCCAGGTTGGCATTTTATGGCAAGAACAAGCCACAGAAATGTAGAGCTGTGTATCTGAAGGCTTAACTTTAGACTCCTTAATCTGAATGTTTTAGGAATAATTTGGGACAGATGGGACTCATCCATGTGGAGAGTTCCAGCAAAATCCCAGTTGTAAGCTGTAGGGTGAACGTGGAAAGACCTGGAAGTTGAGCAATCTCTCTGTGTGGAACAGGTATTATTTTGGGACCATACTTTGGTCCCACTGGCAATTCCACTCACACAGTCCTTACTGGGCAGGCCAGGAAGGATCTATTCATCCTCCATCTGGTTTGTTTTTACATTTCCTGACCAAACTGCTGTCTAGTCCCTGCATCTTGCTTTATTTGTGGTCTCTTGGTTCCGATGGTATCCCTCCTGGAGAGGGTTAAGCAGGAACTGCCACATACATTGGTCTGTAGCAGCTCCTCATGGCCAACCAGAACATGTTTCCAGCTTCAACCACTTGATTTTCCTGCTGCCCAGTGCTCCTGCCCTCCTCCCTTTTGTGGGGAATGTAGTGATTTGCCTCTGTGAGCTGTTATGGCTCTTATTGGAGGTTGACTTCCTCTGACCTTGAAGCGTGGTGGGATTCTGGTGGTGGGGTGGCCTTGCCCATACCTTCCTTCCACTGGTGGCTCTGGGAAGTGAGAAAACACAGACGAAGGAATTTGGAGTTAACCACTTACTTCCTCATCAGCCCCTCATAGGAGAAAGACCTGGATATATAGAGCTTAATGAGGCATTTTTCTCCAGGTAACCAGCACAATTATGAGAAACTTCCTCATTAAAATGTTTGTGTGAAGACAACTGTTTTGGTTGAAAATGTGCATGGTGCTTGTGGGCTGAAATCACTGTTGATATTTTTATACAGTAATTTTTTTTTTAACTGTCTGGATTTCTTTTCTTTGTTTGGCTCTTTTTTTTTTTTTGTCTATAAGCAAGGCCTCTGAAACTTTTATTAAAACCAAGACTGGTGATTTTTATAAACGTTTTTTGGGTTTTTTTAAGCAGAATATACACCCAATTCCAGGAAGTTAACTTACATTTTCTAATTGCATGGAACCTGCCCTGAAAAATCAGAGGAGGATGTGTAGGAAGGTAAAGGTGCAGGAAGTTAGATTTATTGCTATTTGTGAGGCCATTTAACACTGTTCAGAGCAGTTTTAGCTCATCAACACCCCACTGGTGAAGCTCAAAATATCTATCATGTTTATCTGAGACAGCCTTCTGCAATGTATCTTCATTTGTTCTTACCTAGTGTTTGCTTTCACTCTTTACTTTACTTTTTACCTTACTTTAACACTTCAGTCATTTACTTCAGGAGCAAAAGCTCTTTTTCCCCTTACCCTATGTACTGAATAACCAACTAATAAACAGGGAGTTAACAATTCTAGAAGTATTTCTTCCACCTAAGCTAACTATTGAATAGGAACTGTGTTCCTAGCAATTGGAATCCCACTGGAAACACGCCTTGAACAGACTTAAAGCTGAAACCATTGCAATAAAAAGATTAATAGATAAGTAATTGATTTTAATAAGTTACTCTCCTGCATGGACTATTTTAAAACTTTAAGATTGCTAAAATAAGACACTTAATACACACGAAGGGAAGAGACTTGCAGTAGCTGGATTTTAAAAAAAAACAGACAACCGCCTTTATTCACACATCTAACATTGTCTGGAAAAAAAAAAGAGTTTAAGAATATTGTGGCTAAGTATTTGAATAAAGAGTACAGAAAATAATTTTTCAAAAATAGATCTTTATTAGCAGTCTGGGTCGGAGAACTGGATATATTCACTTTGATTAGGGTTGTCCATTGAGAGGAATAAAAATTTTATTTCACAGGTTGCAAGTTAAAAAATGTGGAAAGTGATGTATTTACATTACAAAGATGAAACTGAGTTACAGTGGCTAATAGGATAAGTGTTGCAAGTTAGACATTAGAAGAGGGATGTGAACTCAATTTACCAGGCAAATTAACATTGTTAGAACACTTGAGCTGGAGCAAAGATAACAGCACCTTTAGGAGACAAACTGCCTGCCTTGCTGGTGTACTCCAGTGTTTCTCTAATGATTATAAAAGTCTTTAGGCAAGATTTTTTTCACCAGCCTAAGGGCACCAAAAGGTATTGATAAATGTGCGACAGAAATAGAATGAAAGCTGGACTCAATGCCCTAACTCTTCATATCCTAATACCTGCTGAAGCAGTTCTGGTTCTTTTGCTCTGCCTAACTAAAATTGTGCTCCTGCATGACATGGGTGCCACTGATTTGCAAAGAGAGCTACTCAGTATTTCCAGGACTTGAATAACAAGCCCAGAGAATCCCTTAAAAAATAATGTCCTGGAAAGCAAAGTAGCAGATAGAGCCTGGCCAAGGTGAAGGGGAGCTGAAGCCTGTCAGCAGTGTCCACCTGAGGCAGGTCAGATATGGACTGAAATGCATTTGGCATCTCTTTCCTGTTTGATAATGAGCCACACTCTGTTTCACCTTGTGCCCAAGGATTTAACAGTGCTTCATACAAGTAAGGTGAATGGTGTCTGGATGCAGTCAGGCACTGAACAAGGGGATCTTAACACACTTGTTAGTGCAGAAGGTTTTCTGCTATTTCCAGACTGTTCAGTGTGAGAAAGGGAAGTGAGCCTCAATGATGTACCCAAGGTTATGCCTCAAATTAGTTACAAGATGGGAAGCGGTCACAAACAGTCCCCTTGTGGGATTGTGGGGCTGATCTGCCTGCCTAAAAATAAAAGAAAGACAGTCCTCTTTGCAGTGAGCAATTTAAGCCAATTTGTATTAAACAATTTGCTCTGAGATTTGATTTAAAAAAAAAAAAAAAACTTAGTGAAGCTAGACTAAACAGTGTTCACAGCATAGTGGTCATCCTTTGATGTGATGCTTTAGAGGAGCTGAGGCAGAATGTGCTTTTTCTGTGCAGTTTAATAAAAATAAGGCTGTGAAACATCTTATGATGAAAAAAATCCAAGACTGTCCTCAACATCTAACACTGAACCTTAAAATTACCATACCTGAATGTGGCAGACGAGTCATGTTCATTAATTTTAGCAGCATCGGTGCCCATTTATACCATCTAAATATCTAGCATTCAATATAAGCAATTTTCCTGTCCCTTTTCAATTAGCTCCATTACAGAAAATCTAATTAAATCATATCTTTTAGCAGGAACCAAGAATTCAAGAGCTAAATTTTTGCATTTAATTAAAACCTCTTCATCTTGAACTGTTAATTTCCTGAAAAAGATATCCAGTAGTTTTTCCTCTGATCCACTTAGTTCCTGGATGAAATGGCTCATTTACTCTGAGTTGGCTCTTCAAGTGTACACTTAGGCTCCAACTCTGGTGACAATCTCAGAAGATGATGGGAATCATAGCTGCTTTTCTTCTCACTTCTGGATAAAATCTCTTCAGATAGAGCTTGTGTTTCTTCTGGGCCCACAGAGACATCTGGATGACCATCAGGAAAGCAAAGATGCCAACTAGCAGGGAAAAAGATTTAAAGAAAAGGATCATATGGGTTCTTTCAGTGCCTGTTTCTGGAGATGCAGTAGGGTTTATGGAAATATTTGCAGTCTCTTCTGTGGACAGAGACAACACAGCAGTTCCTCTCAGCCTGGCAGTTGCTGATATACAATAGCCCAAGGCTCAGCCTCACCTCAGAATTCACACAGATGATCTTCACATTTGTTAGACACACCCTCTAGCACCTCTGACTTCACCATAAATCCATATATCACAAGGCATCCTTGGCCATGGTGCTGTCTCAACTCATGACCTCCCTCAATATTTCTAGTTTGCTTCTGAACTACAACACTTCTTTGTATCTACCTCTGGCTCTCAACCATGACAGGGAGCTGTGCTCCATCTCCCTGCTGTGTAGAGGGAGAGCTCAGCCCTAAAGCAAGTAGGCAGTAGCTGCCAGATCCAACAAACAGGCACCAAATAGGGGATCATTTTACTGCATTTGCATTTTGCAAATTCATTATCCTTTGATTAATGTGGAGGTGGTTAATCAGAAACATCCATTTGGTGTCCAGTCAAGCTATGTCTGGGACAATTACAGCAAGGATGAGTGTGCTGTGTATGTTTCTGCTCCTGCCCTGTAGGGACAGCCCTCCATTTTCCCCAGACTTTCAGATAATTTTCATATCAAAGCCTAAAACACAAGAACGTTTCATCTTTCCAAACAAAATTTCAATTTATTTTTTGCATGATGCAGTTTAACCCACTTTTGAAATTCATTCTTTTCCATTTGTAAGCCATGTGGGGCTACTTCTTACAAACAGTTTTCATAGGTTTCTGTTTTGAAATGGAAAAATAATTTAAAACCTGAATGTTTTGGATAGCTCAGTTCCAGGCACCATATTTTTGTGAATGTTTAGGTCTTCTAAGGATGCAGCAAAGTACTGAGGAAGAGTCTCAAATTCCACTAAGCAGGCTGCTCTTCCGAGCATCTTGGAGGTTTATCTCATATGACAAATTTGATGGCAATATTTCATATACTATAAACTTTTTTGGCAAATCTTAGATTTCTAGAATTCTCTTCCACAAACACTTTAAATGCTGTCTTCATTCTGTTTCAAACTTACCTGGCAGAGTTTGTGTCATCACCGTGAAACTAATCCAAGACCCAGCCTGTTGCAAAGAAAAAGGCACAGTTAGTTCTATATTTTATGTAAAGCAAAATGGCAAGTTTTCAAAAGCTCCCCATGGAAAAAGAGAGTGGTACTTGTACTGGAAATGGAAGAGGAAAAATAGTAAGAAATTAACCCCCCAGTGTGCTGGGTGGAGTGAAGAGATGGGTGGTAAATCTTTAGGTCACTGGGGAGACTGTGGTGGAAGGAAACACAGACAAAAGTCCATGTGGTAGGGATGTGAGGGAAGAGGAGGGTCTGGTGGAGAAATGTTTGTGGGAGCAAGCAGACTCTGACATACGAAACACGAGGATGGATGTGCGGAGGAAACTGCGTGGAGGTGTTGCAGATTTTCTGCAGACAAAGGCTGAAACAGCACCCCCCTACCCTTTGCACGTGAGCAGAAGAAAGTCATGTACCTCATATGTATAGTTGGGACAGGATACCAGCAGGAAGAGCCACGTGAAGGGGTTGTAGGTTGGACTTGGAAAACAGGTTCTATTTCCTTGTGAAAGGCAAAAAAAAGAAAGGGTGGGGAAATTCAGAACCAGTTTCAGTCCAGGGAGAGGGGAACTGAGCCTAACTACAGCCTGCCTATGTAACAGCAATCCCCTGGGCCAATCCTCTCAGGGTACAACCTGTTAGAAAAGTTTCAGTGAAATCTTTTGAGGTAGCAAAAGCTGTATTTATCCCAGTGAGAAAGAACTTAAATCAATTTTTTGGCTCTTTCTGCTTTTAAGCTGAATTAAGCCCCTTGCAAGAAATAACATAAGCAGTTTCCTAACCACAGTGCATGAAAACATTCCAGAACAGAAATTGACTTCTGTGTGTGAGGTTGATCATACTGTGGTATTTTCTTTAATAGAGTGTTCTAGTGGGGAAATTACACTATTAGTGTCTGGAAACACATTTTACTTTCCGGTATATATTGCATAAACTTTATTCTCATGACACAAAAATGCAGAAACCCCAACCTGTTAAGAGCACATATATATACTGTGTAAGTATTCATGAGTCTGTCTCTGTGTATTTGAATATATGCATGTACATCTTTGCCTGAGATGAATGTGTCTAAAAACTCTGCAATATGGTTTGGAAGTTTTTGAGACTTATTTTAAATTAAATGCATTGATGTCAGTCACCAGCATGCTTTAAAGAACTTCAGCACTTAAATCCATATTTAAATTGCAGTTGTGTCTAATTAAGATAAATTTGCTATAGGTTTTGAAACAACAGCAGTGTTGCTAATGTTTCCCTGTCACAATTTTTGAAGGTGTTAGACCAATGGCATGGTTACTACTTCATCTTTCTTTATTCAATGGCTGTAGGTACATAAATTACTGTACAGCAGCAGAAGATGGATAGGTTAAGGAACAGGAAAGAAAGACAGACCTGAATTGGTTTGGTGAGCTAAAGCTACGTTGATAAAGTGATTTCCAGCTTCACACATCTGCAAGACATTAAAAACATATTTTCAGTCGTGTGCCTAAAAGGCTGTGGCAACTGTGTGCAGTGCATAGCCAGAACCCTCCCCGTTACAACTCAGTCTCTATATCCAGGAGATAGATATTCCAAACAACAGCCTGTGATCTCTGTCACACACACAGGTGTGCAGTGAACACCGTGGGTACAGCAGCCTGGGGTGAAAGCCCCTGGCACACCTTCACTGAGCTCTGTGCAGCCAGGCCTTCAGTGGGGTTCCCGTGCCCAGCACGTGCAACATGTTTGGTCCTGGGGAGATTCCCTGGTTCTAAGGAATCCATCAAGATGCTCTTCTTGGTTTTTTTCTGGATTTATTCCAAGCTGCAAAGAAGCAGGTGAAAAGCTGACCTCTGGTTTTTTAAAGATGTCACTGGTTAATGTCCCTACCCCTCTTCCTACACATGCTTTCAAAGGTGTGCAGCAGAACAGAAAGGGAAAAAAGGATGATTAAAAAACAGTAATCTCTAAAAGGCAGACTGATTGAATGGCCAGTAGTCAGGGATTGATAAAGGAAGGGAGCCAGTCCTATTCCTGGTTCTGGAACTCTCTGGTTGTGCCATTTCCAGCCATAACCAACTTCTCAAAGCTGGTCTCTAACATTTAGGTATTTCCAACCTTTGGTAGCAGTACCGTTTCTCTCCATTTGGTTATACAGCCTGCAGCACCGGCTGATTTCAGATTTGCTTCAGGCTTTCAGTACTTCATCAGTTATGACTGCTGAAGAATGAAAATCAATATTTGCCCATATTTAAAATGGGAACTGGTAGGAAAATCAGTTTAAATTCCTGAAGAAGATAACCTGTCATCACAACTATGTAATTTTATGGTTTTCATTTTTCCCCTACTCTGTGAAGAAAACTGAAGTTGTGTATACAGTGCAAGCTCAGGCTGAATTGAACTTTTTTATTAATTTCTGGATGTAAAGACTGATTTACACTCTCAAATTGAAAAAATGCAGCATTAAAAAGTTGCATTTTCTTATATAATTTATCATTCGATATCTTGCAAGGGTCAAAAATTTTTAAGAAATTAAAATAAAAAGGAAAATGTTAAAAGCTAGAGATGTTAAAAGTGTGAAGTCACAAAATTAATACAAAAAGGAAGAACTTCAACTGTCATTTTTAAGTCAGTTCTGAAAGTCATCCATAACAAATTTTTGTTAAAGCTAATTGAAAGAAATATATAATTTCATTTTATATTTAAATGTGCTATTACCTGAAAGAACATTGTAGATAGAAGAATTTTTGAAGAATTTTCCCCTTTTTGACAGAGATGTTTGTGGGGTTTTTTTGGAAGATTTAAATCAGGTTTATTCATAAATAGATCTGTTATTAGCTGTTATTCTGCATGAGTACGTAGTTACAGTTCAAGTCCTGCTGTCCTTTTAAATTCTTTTAATTCCAACTAACTGACAATCCTCTACTATAAATACCAGATGTAAAACACTAAATAGCCAGAAAATGAAATTCCATTATAAAATACCATATCAGAAGCTATAACTCTAAGCATAGCAATGGACGTAATGTTAATTTACCTACTTCCAATTATGAGCTGGGAACGTGATTTGTTTTTTTCTGATTGCTATTATTTTAAAGAAATAGGTTTTGTGGTTAGAAGTGGTTTTGTAAAACTCTATTGCTAATGAGATGCCTATAGTATTGTAGAGCAAGAGATATTCACACACTATAATTAACCCCGACTAACTCTAAGTAAAACAAGCTAAAGGCATTTCTGCAGGGATTTTTATTGGCTTACCTTTGACTCTTCAGCTGCATTCTGCTGTGATTAACTCTTATGTTCCTCTTTAGACATGTGACTATTAATGTTCTACATGCTAAATTTAAGCTAGTCCTCAGTTGATCATATATAAAATATGGGGCAGCAGGAAACAGCAGAGAAAAAGCTGAAGCTATTTACAACTGTAAAATATTGAAGCCTAGACACTGTTTCCCCTCTTTATATTCCAAGTATACCCTATGAGAAAAGCATCCCTGCAAAGCTTAATTTCTCTAAACATGAGAATCTTCCAGGAGGACCTGCAGAAATTCTTCATATTACTCAGTACTGTTGTTTACAGCAGCTGCAGATGTATACACTTAAATCAGGATGTGTAATAAAGACAAGACTTAAAAGAGGGTAAAAAAAGAAATCTTCCAAATATTTTATTCATATGTTTTAGAAACCTGTGAGAACAGCTCAAATTATATTATTTTGTATGTTCATGTTTTAAATTCTTTGTCTGGGAATCTACCAACACAAGATCTCAAAGGGACAGGTCTTGAGTTTCCATGGGTAGGGAGTTCTCAAAAGAGCTGTAAGAATTCAGAGTCTAGACCAGGTGCTGATGCAGACCTTAAGGGGATTGACATACTTTATAGCAAACACCCCCAACAGGACTCATCCCTTTGCTTGATGGCAGCATTTTCCTTGCAGGGCACATTCCATTGATGCAGGGAAGGATGTTTCAAAGGAAAAGGAGGCTTTCTCTAAGCAGAGACTTTGATGAGGACTAGTTTTGCTGGCAGCACTGAATATTCAGGCAAGCAGTTTGCTTGGATTCAAACACCCTGAGCCTGGGAAGGGTGCACACAGCAAGGGTCTGGGTGTACTGCTGGCTGCCAGTGCCACAGCCTCCTGTCTGCAGTACTGGGCTACTGCTTTTGGCTCTAGAGCATCATGGAGTGTGTGAACTTCTTCACAGAGGTATTTTTCTTGTTGTTGCTGTACCTTGTAAGAGCAAGAAAAGCCAAGAACTGCATGGACAGACCCAGAGACCAACACTGCCAAAACTGTGACCTTTAAGGGTCCCAATTTACAAAAGCATTTAAATATTGCTAATGAGTTTATGGATGGTTTTCTGAATAGTGTTCGCCTGAAGGAGCCTAGACATATTATTGTCCCATCACCCTGTCATATTTCTGGAAACTGATCTGTATCTGATTTTCAAAAAGGATGCTTTGGCTCTGGCTCAGCAGTTCCAGAGGACAGAGAGGATATACATTTCCATGAGAACTTCTTACCAAGCCTCTGGCTCACTATAAAGTTATGTTCAAACAGCAGGTTGGGTAGTCTCAGCCATCCTTCATCAGCTACACTTTCCCTTGGTTTATCCCAAATTGCTTTTTCCCAATCTGGCAGGGTTTATTTCTATCATTTTTAATAGCTGTTGATGTAAGTTGTTCAGGGTACACTGAACTATTGCAAAGTCTGCTTGATACATAATTCTTCAGTGTTTTAAAAATGACAAGGTTCAGTCTGTCTAAATATTAGTGTTCTAACACAATTACCAGTAGTAATCATGCTGATAATGTTCTCACAGCTCTCAAATACAGTACTTCAGTTTAAACTCTGTGTACATAAATATTAGTAGGATACTTCCTGACTGAGAAACCTGAATAGATCCAGTCAAAGTACACAAGGCTGTGCACATGGACTTATATACATTTATACACACAAATGCACAGAAGCATTACTGCATTTTGTTAAATTGTGAGTTAATCCTATTCCATCATCATAAAAAAAACTTCATTTTTGTACATACCAGAAAAGCAAGAGCAGCGTAAGAAACTTGTTTGTGGCCAAATGCTAGAAAACAGAATGAAATTATAAATTGCATTTTACGGTATGCACATGGTTTGCTATGGATGAAATTAATCTAGTGCTGAGCAGCAGAAATGCTTCTTTCCTGACAGACTCTGCAGAGAGATTGGATATTATCACACATAATATGAAGACAATACAACCAGTAACAGCACTCTAGAAATGCCAGTTTTACACCACTGATCTCAAGGCAGTTTTCAGCCAACTTTTTTTAGTATTTGCCAGCTTCATATATCCAAGTGTTTTGTCAAAGCAGCTGGTGGTGAATCCCTTAAAAAGGCAAGGAGGGGAGTGGAATGAAGGTCAGTGCCAAAATGAGGCTGAGAATTGCAGCCTTATCCATAGACCCTTCCACTTCCAGAAGCAGAAAACTCAATTTATAACCTATCCATTACCTTCTTTTTACTTTAGTAGTGAGGCAATAGTGAGGCTTTACTACACAGCCACTACCTGCTTCACAGTCATGCAAGAAATGCATTTAATATTTGTAAATTTTACTTGCCATCTGGCTGCCCCCTCCTTTTTCTGGTTGTCCCCAAACCAGTCCAGGTCTCTGCCATGTTCATCTCCAAAGGTTTACAATTCCCAGGTAAACCTTGGTTTACCCCCTCATGGCTGGGGGACCCAAATCCTGTGTACATACCTCACTTGCCTTGGCCATGTCTCATCAGGCCTTTACTTTTGAGAACTCCTTTCTCCTGGCTGGCACAGGACCCCTCTGTGGTGCCAAAGGCATTTTAAGGCAGTGGCAGGCAATTAGAAATATTTCTTCTGGATGCTTCCTCTTTTGTGTCTTGAACAAAGAGTTTCCCCTATAAAGAAGCTGCACTTATTGATTTGATAGCCCAGACTACTAAAAACTGCATCTAGGGAGGTTTCTGCATTGTTTGCAGCATTGCTGTTAAAGCCACACCAAATTCAACTGTCATTCAATGAATCACATCATTTTGAAATACAACTTTTGTGCTAGTTTGAAAGAAAAGCAAGTGTCATCTAGGAGAAATTTTTGATTGAAAAAACTTAGCAATTTAACTAACTGTTAATAAAAATGGCAAAGGAAACGCTTTTTCCCCGAAGTTCATATATAAATCCGAGATACAGAGGAAAAGAAAGACTAAGGTATAACAAGGAAAGTAAAGTAGCAGAATATAAAACCTGTGCCAATTATTCTCAAAAGAAGCAAAAGTGCACAGAGAAAACAGAAAAAAATCATGAAGAAACAGCAGTGCAAAAATAAAATATGATGAGAGGGAACAAAATGATGGATGAAATCCAAAAATTTTTTAAAAATAATCTTTGTATTATCAGCAGTATGTGATGGATTTTTACTAGTTTCTCAGGGGAAAAAAAAAAACAATACCTTAATTTTCATGAAAAGGATGTATCTTTAGCAAGTAAATATCTCCTCTGAGAAAATGCAACCAGTTCCATTTCTCTCCTGCCTTCTTTAATAGAAATGTTGTGAAGAGGAGCAAAATATATTGATCTTTGTGTTTTCTCTGCTTGTCCAAAATGTCCTGTTCATAAACTGGACAGCAATTGACCATCGCTGAACAGGCACGAACATTCAGTGGCACAAAGCAGAGTTGCTTCCAACACAACCATCTTCCTCCTGACAGGGAGCAAAGACTAATTTCTGGCTGGATCAGTCATATGATTTAATGTGGGACCCATTTCTTGATTTTGGAGAACTTCAGGTTACACGGCAAGGACTTTTTCAGAGCGAGTTTGTCGGTTTTGTGTCCTACCCATACCTACATGGCGGCGTGTACCGTGGGTGGTTGATGTAGTATGCAATCCAGGATGTGAATCCCCAGTAAAAGGCACAGCCCTGGAACAGACAGACAATTTTTTTGAAAGGGCAATAAGGAAGTGCAAACTGTAACTTTCAGAGTATAAATTCTGCCAAGTGCAAAACCTGGGTGACCATTGAAAGGCTTTGCAGTTGCTGGTGAGCCTTAGAATATATACCTTTCTAAGATGCTGTGAAGCCAGTAAAAAATAAATTTGGGATACAGTGTAGATTTTTTTATTATTGTGTTGTTTTATTCCTGTGGTAGGAATTGGCACTGGTCTCCTTTTTTGATTTTACTGCTGAAGATTACATTTCTATGAGCAGTGCTATTAAAAGACTAGGGCTGCTTAATACAGCTGAGCTGTTACTGTACCTGAAATTCAGCATTTCCAAGCAAGATAGAGCAAGACAAACAGAACACTAAACCACACAAAACAAGAAAGAGTAAAAGTAAAGCCATGTGTCATAGCCACGTGTTAATCTCCTTCACCAGAATCCTAAATGTTTAAAGGGAGGGTCTTTACATCACACTGAATGGGATGGAGGGGTGGTACAAAATGGCCAAGACAGAGTGTGTAAAATAAAAGAAAAGAAGGCCTGTGAGTAATGACACACTGTTGAAATTCAGGAGGCTTTGGAAGAGAGAAGACCTGGCCAGCTCAGTATCTTCCTGCCTGAGGCCTCCATCTATAGAAGGAGAATGTTTTTTTCCTGCTTGTAATTTGATTTTCACTCCCTAGCACTAGGCTGTTTCTTGCTCTGTATTTATACTGCACCAAGGAAGCAGTATGATTTCTGTCAACACTGCTAGATGTTGCAGCAGCAGCAATCACCATAAAATAGTACTGAGTCTTAAAAATAACTTGGACTTGACAATCAGCCCCTTGGGTGAATGAGTCAAAGTGGACATTTACATGCAGGAGCAAAAATGGACATTGATTTCAATTTATGTCCTTGGAGACATGGTCCTGAAATCCATCCTGTTATCTGTATTTTCACAAAACATAATTCCTGGAGCTACAAAATAAATTAATTTTTATTTCCCTATCTTCTTCCAAGGACTGCTTTGATATGAGGATATTCTCTCTTACACAAAATGATGAAAATATTGTCACCTTTATCATATTTTTCAGAGGAGTGTGCCCTTCCGAAAACTTGTGAACAAATAATGTCTCCAGAAGATGTCTGATGTAGTGTAAACAGTGACAGAAGCAGGCCAAGCTGCAAGAGAGAAAAAAAAGGGAAATTAAGGTAAGTGAAAGATTGTTTTTATTACTTCACAGTTAATGTCATGAAAGGAATAAGAACTAATATTCCAAAACTGCAGTCACATTAAAATTGCGGGATTTAAGATATTGTCTTAATTGAAGCATCTGGAACTAAAGATTAATGGAATAATTTTCAGTGTTAGACAAAGTTGCTTTCATTTTGCAGGGAAGCAACTTATTTTTACTAGCCTTGAAATAAAAAGAGCTCCTGGAGCTCTGAATGTGATACATAGTCCTGACAAGACATTTAGACAGGACAGCTGCGTGTACAGCCAGGCATCTGACGCGCCTTTCCAAAAGATGTCTCCCACGTTTTAAGGCCACCTTAATGCTCCTGTAGGATGTGTCTGACATTTAAAAACATTCTGAATATCTTCTGAATGGTTTCCTTGTCCTTTGCCAGCTCAAGTAGCTGCTTGGAGATAGTTTGTGTTTCATTTCCTTGTGGACGCAAAATGAGATTCTGTTGCAAGTTAATCCATTCTGATGGCTTTTTTGTTGCCTGTTATAAAGAAATGAAGCAATTGTGGTAGAAATTATTATATTGATTCTCTTTTGAGGAAGATTATGAAACAATAACAGGCATTGCTGATTTGCTTCTGAGAATGAGCTGCAGCTCCTAGTGATTGAGTTTCAGAAACAAATGTCAGGAGTGATTCCTGATGGCATTTTATCTTGGTTACATTTACTGTATTACCATAGCCCTTCTTGCTGCAAACCAATTATAAGACATAAATGAAAAGTGTTTTTCAGCATGTGAATTCTCAAATAATTTTATTATGCATTGTGTATAGTAGCTAAAGTCAAAGATTAAACAATTTCAAAGTAATTAAACCAGAGAGAGTTGAGCTAAGAGAATTTCGAACAATTAACGACTTATCCAAAGCCTGGAGCAAATTTCCAGCTTTGCTGGAAATTTTTAAATTAATTTGGCTTAGGATGGGGACCTCAGATGAACCCATTAAGGAGTGGTCACTGGCAGGATTCTGCACAACCCTTGCCCACCTAAAAGAAGGCAAAGGCATTGCAGGTTCTTCTGTGCTGCCAGAAACTCTCCCCTTTTAAGCATATGCACAAGAGAAGGAAGACAAGTATCTTGCAGCTCTGGATTTGAATTCAATTATTCTGTGTTCTCATTCCCAGCTCCACTAACTCCCTTAATGTCTCTCCAAGTGCCTGTTCCTCTATCTGTAAATAGCATTATTACTCTGCTGTGTACCAGTTCCCCTGATCCTGCAGTCACAGTGTGGAAGAAGTGTGTGAGGAATCTGTACAGTCCTTGAGCCTCCTAGGTGCCTGTGTACCCTCCTATGAGTGGTCCAGCTTGTGCAGGTGACAGGCTTTCCTTGATCACTTGTCACCCTTCTGCCAGGCACTAATCACCCAGAATGGGGACAATTCCACTGAAGCAAAGTTCCTTTAAATGTGAAAGTTCCAGGCTGCCTGGTGCATTCTACCTCCTCCTGTGGAGATGCTTCTTTTGAGTTTCTTGACCCGACTCATGAGGTGTACACCTGTGGAATTTTCCAGGAATCACCTGTGCCTAGGTGAGAGCTGGTGTGGGGGTAGTTATCTTCTGTGCTGGATGCTGATGCTGCTCATCTCAAGAGCAGGAATGTGCTTTGAAGCAACTGGGAGAGGGGCACCTGAAGTCTTGTCTTCTCTGTCAAGCATGACTTTGGGTTACTACCCACTGTGATTATTATTTCACTTTCTGACTTGATGTCAAAGTATTTGAGGAAAACACTGCATCTCCATGGCAATCCATTGCTGGGATTCCATTTTTGGTCAAGCTTATGAGTGTTGCTAAAATGACACACAGGTATTGGCAATAACTGAATCTGACACCAGGCAGGCAGCCTCAGACCCCCTGTAACACCCTCAGCTCTGGAAATGCCATCTCCATCCCTTTGATTTCTCATGATCCAGGAAAATAATTCCCACAAGTGTCACTTACTGAACCACTGGGTGGCGGAAGCTCTTCCTGCTTTCCACTTGATCATAAATAGTCGAGAGGCGAATGTAGAAGAGCAGATATATGAGAAGAGGCCCGGTGTACTCTGTTAGAAAAAACTGGAAATGAAAAATAAAATAGCTGTGGCAGAGTAGAAAATTATATGAGGAAAGTTGTGAGAGGAAAAAATACCCCTATCCACAACCCCTATTCATCCTTCAAATTACTTTTGGCTTCATTTTCAGGATTTAAATGACACATAGGGGATTCTTCTGCAGTCTCTTTAGCAAAGGAGTAAAATCCATCTAGGAAATGAGAGATAGGTTTCTGTGCAGAACATTAACCCAGTCAGGAATGCTTCATGGAAGGTGGTCAAAATCACAGTTATCTCCTCTTTATATTTTTGGCTGTGCCATCAAGCGCCTATTTGGAATCTAAATAACACTGAGAAACAAGGCCAAGAAACTGAAGGCAGCTTGCTTTCTGCCAGTGCTTTTTGCAATTAAGTGGTACATCAGTTAAAAGCCAACCAGGCATGACAGAAACAAACACATCTTTGAATTCTGGTAGCTTGCAGAGTCATCTGGAAGGGAGGCTATCATTGCTTGAAATTTGGTGGAGGATGGAAGAGCAGGACCAGCCTGCATGGTGCTTGAGCTCTTTTTTGGTTACTGTGTGGTTCTCCTTCCTGTGCAGGCACCAGCAGAAATAGCCTGTGGTGGGCAGACTGGACAAATTGCCCTACTGTGACAGAAACAAAGAAGAAACCATTTCATCTCACCATTGTCACCCCTGCTAGGCACAAGAGCTGAGAGAAGGCAGAGTCATAGAGACGACATGAGCCACCCTCAGTTTTAAGGTCTCACTTTGGTTGGGTACAGTCTGCATTGCTTTTTGTTGGGGAGCATTCTTAAGCCACACGCAGATGGAAGAAGTAAAATGACATTAGAGTGATGAAAGATCTAGATTTGATCACCTGTCACTGACCACTGGACTGAGTCCCAGAATAAAATGGAAGTGGTGTAGTCCTACACATTTACAAGGACTGGCAAATCGTATCTCAAGTGCCTATCATTGCTTCAGGGAGAAAGATTTATAACTGTTGGGTTATTTGGCTTTATGGTGTCTATTGGCACTGCTGTAGAACTGTAATGAAGAAACACCTGTGGCTTAAGGAAGCAACACTGACTTCAGACCACCTTTTACAGAAGTAGTATTTGGCTCCCCATCAGGCTGTTCTTCTAATCACTCTTCAGAAGAACATTGAAAGAGAAAGATTTTCCTGCAGGAATATCTGGCAATTAGGTTCCCTTTTCCTCTGTTACAGGGGGAAACCTTTTGAAATTTTATCCATTCATAGCAGGACAGTCTCCAAAAGTAACAACAGACTTAAGTGTTCTCTACCAGGGGAACATCAAATTCCCTTTTGTTCCAAGTGACACCATGACTCCTGTGCTCCATTTAGACTCTGCATGATCCCAAGAGCAGGTGTGTGTTTGTGTGTGTGCAAAAATATTTAATCCAGGAGTCCAAGAGCACTCATTTTAGGATACCTCACAACCAAGGGCTTATTAGAATTTTGTCCTGACAGCAGTTGTATGGATCTGTTCCAAAATGTGAGCCCACTGTGTTTGGCACTCTGCAAACACTGTAAGGGATGGCCTCTGCTATTTAAACCTAACACACTAAATCTAGACTTTGGTGGTGTCGGGGACAGAGGTGCAGGTAATGTGGTCAGGGGAAGAGCCTGGAATGAGCTGCTTTCTTCAGTGAAGCTTTTTCTCTCTGCCATGAGCTGCACCACAAAGTACATCCGTGACTGCCAGCTTCCAACATCTGTTTGGCACAAGCACATTGCAAAGCTGCCAGGAGGAGTTTGGCAGGACTTAGCACCAAGTTGTGTTTACTTGTCACTGCACCAAGTGCTCCCCCCTTACCCCCTGACTGATTTCAGATGTTGAAAGGAGAAGGAGAGTTTCAAGATTTAGGAAAAAAATCTCTTTTTAAAAGTCAAAGCTCCAGGCACAAGATAACGGAATCCTTGTGATGGGGTTTGATGTAGGAAGGGGGGGATGCATGAATGCAACTCAGAGAAGCAGCTGAGAGCACTCACAGAGCTCTTGAGCTGGGGTTTGTGCAGGGGAGCAGCACCAGGGTGGGGACAGGGTTCAGTCTTGTGTGTGTGTCTGTCACATCACCCTTGTGGAGGCAGGTGGTGCAGGGTCAGCCAGGAGATTTGCAATCACACTGGGCACTGTCTGGTGGACAGGACTGTGTCTGCCTTTGTCATAACTGAGTCACACTGGCACATAGTTAAGATAAGTAGCATTCTGTTTTAGAGGATGAGGCTCAATTTGCTGCGGTAGTTTTTGCTGTACTTTACATTAGTTTAGGTAAGTTTCAGACTCTGCTTCTGTTGCATCTCCCATGCTGTGATCACTGCTCTCCTTCTCTGGCCTACTGATTTTAAATTTGTCATAAATGAAAAACAGGTTTCAGAAAGGCAGGCAGAGAAACTGCTACAAGTTCCCATTAATTCTAGCAGGTGAACAGGAAAGTAGTCTTAAATTAACACAACATTACAATTATTGGTTCTACCCACTGGCAATCAAGGGCAAGCACCATTCTTTTACTATTGATTCTCAATGATTATGTGCAATTAAGCCTAACTAGTATCTTCATATTCATCCTATAGCTGACTAATTGCTGGGCTTGGGGAGTTACTTGTTGTGTCAAGGATCAGTTCACCCCATCATTTTTATAGGTGCTCAAAATTAGTAATCCCTGATGACACATTCTGCAAAAATAATAATCTCATTTTAAACAAAGGCCTGAAAGTAATAACATTGTAGCTTGCTCTTTCTGAAAAGGAATATAATTTTATTTTTTTTTAAAGTTATCATTCAAAGCACAGAGCACACTTACCCCGTATAAATGTAAAAAGAAAAACAAACAGAAACACCAAACCCCAATATTTAGAAGAAAATTATTTTTTCTTTACCATCTTATGGTCCTGCCTAGATTATTTTGATGTATTGGGTGCAACCAAATGTGGTGATCCATAATAAACACAAATATATTTTCCTGAAGGAGCAGTATGTCTCTATAACAATGAGCATATCTCAACAGGATTTAACTGTTGAGCTCATCATTAACTCCCTGAGGAGAGAAAACAGGAGACTGCCTTTTCTTTCCACTTCTGTACACTCTTCTTCATATCTTGCACAGTGTCCAGTTCTCTTACCTTCCTTCTCTCCTCTCCAGTGCCTGGCATTACATACTCTGTAGACCTCTTATTCTCAGTAACATAGAGAAAGTGCTCTTAAATGAAAGTATTCTGGAATCAAAACTCTCCCCAGCATGGTCAGCATACAGGGTGCTAAAATCAAGCTTCTTTAACCATCTCAGTTATCAGTGCTCAGAGATCTGATTCAGTAACACCTAAACTGGAAATATCTGCTATGTAAACATCAAAACTGAGATCTAAAACCAGTCAAAAGAGAGCTAAGTGGGAGTTTCTATGATCCAAGAGATGCTGGAACAAAAGGTAAAACAATATAGGAGAGCTAATTTCCAAATCAGCAAAGCATCTCATCTTACATAAACCAGATTGTACCTGCTTCTCTTATCTCTTATTCAGCTCATTGTGCCAGCAACACCTTGCTGAACAGAGAAACAGCCAGGAATTCAAATCCCAGGCCTTGTGAGGTATATTTAGGGAGGTATGAAAGCTGCAGAGGTGAAAGGAATTCTTTAAGGATATTGGAAGGATTTTCTGACTGTTAGGGGTGTCATAGTGTCTGACACATTCCCAACAGGTCTGCCAAAGAGAGTGGAAAGGGTTTTGATGTGAGTTAAAGTCCCATGTGTACTGGCTGGGAAAAGGCAGAACAGGACAAAAGGAAGTTGTAAACACAGGCAGTGGAGTGGAGGGAATATGAAAAAAGTCCAACCAAATCTTTAAAAATGAACATCCCACATATTAGTATCTTCACATGAGGGCATCAGCTAATTCCTCTCTGTCATTTTTATGACCTGCCCTCTCTGTAACATCACACAGCATGCCCTATCTTGTTGCCTTTTGGCATAGGCTCACATTATCTCATTTATGACAAGCAGCAGAGCTGAGGAAAGGCCATAGAGCCTCTTCCACACTGATCCTTTTCCTGCAGCTCTTTCCATGCCATGTAGGGCCAGTTCCCCAGGCACCAGTGCTGCTTGTGATGCTTTCTCTTCCACTGCCCACGGGATGTCAGGATGGAAGCAGAGGGCATGGCATGAGGGTAATGCCTGCAGCCAGGACAATGACTCTGGGTCACTGTCTGTAGTCTCAGCCCAGCAAGAGATACAAAACAGCTCAGTCATGTCCTAGGTGACTCTGATGGAAAAGCAGCTGCAGTATATAAATTATCTAATGGACGGGGCTTCGTTTCTCTGATAAATGTGAGACAAAGGCAGTAGCTGCAGGTCTGAGTCAAGGTCAGGCTGGCACGGTACATACTGCACAAAGAGGAGGATCTCCTGCTCTCAGACAGACAGACAGATCATTGCTGTGTGTGAGTGTACAGAGCACAGCTGGGATTTCAGAGAAACCCAAGAGAAACAGGCAGTTAAATCCTCCCAAGTCCCCAGATCACTTTAAACTTAGCATATAACTGCCTTAGACTCCTTTTACAATCCCAGCCCTAAGTACTCCTGAGCTAATGATCATTAAGAAACATTATTAATTTCTAGTTTAATTTCTACTTCATACACTTTGTTACCTCATTAAAGGCCATATAGTTACCTGGGGATGATAATGGCATAATTTTAGCACCTTCCCTAAATCTTCACATTTGTTAAAGTTTTGTATTTTCATGTTTGCAAAAATCCACAGCAGCAGCAATTTTGCATCAGGTAATACAGTTCTTAAGGCCTGCTTGAATATTCAATTACTTTTTGTTCCAGTTCTCAAGAAACTGACTAATCCATTCTACAAAACCTAAATTGTGCATGGAGGGGCACCTGAAACTTCCCTTGTCTGGGCAGATTTTGTAGGGACTCAGTGTCTATGAGTATTTCAGGCTGCTGCTCAGTATTTACTGCAAATACCAGAGATAGGGATGGATTTGCTGTAGGA